AGAACTTAGTTTAGTACTCACATGCTGTGACAGCCGCTTTCTGTCCGTGTGCTTCGGATGTGTGCACTCAGAAAACCTTATATCAAAAGTTTAAACACATATGGTTTAAAACGCATGATTAACCAGAGGCTTATATTACATATTGTAAAAAGGGGCATAATATGTCTCCTTTAACATGTTAACAATATTTTTTCATTTAAATACCTTTTGTCTTCTTGAGGCCCCCTAGTGGACCCCGGCTCCCTGGTTAAGAACTACTGATATGTGCCATTGCACATTTTTGCAGTGTTTTCTCTTTTACTATGTCTTTATGGTGCAGTCCATGGCGTGAATGAACAGAGGAACTGGGTGTGTTTGTATAAATGGAGGAAGACAGCGGCAACACAAAGCTGACGTGTTCTTCATTATGTTTATGTCTCCAGTTAAATACGTAAAACCCCAGGTTTTCTGTTTCTGTAGACACGCCTATGGTATTGTAAATCTGGCCTGCTTTTAACTCATAAACCCTAATGTTTTCAGTTGTATGGCCCTTATGAAAAGGCTAATTTACTTTACTGTCTGATTGTTTTTAATCACACTCATAAAGGAAGCCATGCTTTACTTGAAAATTGTTCTGTAGCCACGCTAATCTGAAGCGGATGGGCACTGTCACCACGCTGGCTGCTTTGGTGATTGGTTTCACGTGTCCGGCACCCATAAATCCTGCAGTCAAGTCACACTTGATAAGGAAATGGAAATCAGCATTTCTGTAGACAGGCACGCATCTCTCTGTGTAAAAAGTCACCAGTTTTGTTCAAACTACCATGCATTTTTTTCGATTATATAGGTATACAATATTTTACTACAGATTTGCATCTGGATTTAATACTGTTTTAGAACTACTGCGAAATGTCTGTTTTTATTTACATGAAAACATGAAGTAGTGTAGTTAAATTACAACATCTATCAGCACGCAAAACATTCAAACCACTCAAATGAGTTCAGCAAACGATACTCTCATGTTGGTAGTGATCATGCATTTCATGCAAGTTGTTACATTGTGTCAACACTGCAATGGCATCTCTTGCAGTTAGCAATGAATTGCACTCAAAGACTGCATTACTTTTCTGCTGTTCTCTGTAAGATCACAAATCACAGCCAAATTCCCATGTCTCGCGCTGCTTATAAAGACCTGGAGGCGTAACCCACAAGACCTCATTAAATTGTGGATGCTGGACAGTTAAATTAGAGTGATTTACTGTGCTCATCCTGTATCGTTTAATTTTTCCCTTCTGAAAGGATTTTGCACTTTCTTTTTGAGTGTAAAATCAGTCTGGAATGCTTAGATTCAACAAGTGCTGTTTGATTTATTACTTTTTTAAATTTTTTTTTATTATTACTTGACAGGGATTTTCAGGACGAGCCTCTCTAGTCGATTGACATCATTCTTCCTGGTCTTCTGTGGTTTTGCTGACCGTTTTGGTTTCTTTAAATCTGTGGATATCATTATTTTTATTTATTAAAGATGACTTCATATATTCATCCTCCAGAGAATTCCCGGAACCACAGCTTCCAACTCTAACATATTATATCAAATTAAAGCTGCATCGTTGAACCAAAGTGATCATTTCCCTCTCAATTAGATTTGGCCAAAATGTAATTTGTGCTGTGTTGACTGCATAGATATGGTAGATAGGAATTTATTTTTAGGCTTTCTGTGGTATCTAGAGAATGTTTATTAAATTGAAGCCGTGTCTGCTTGACAGAACATTGAAAAGGTTATTAGATATTAGAAACTCTAATCTAACAAAAAAAAAAAAATAGCATAATGAGTAGCTATTTTGAAACACAGTAAACATCTTAAATCGTGACCAGCTCTCAGGTCTTGTCTGCAAAGTTTCCTCAACTGTAACAATTAAAATCATACAACAGTGTGAACATTTTGACGTAATTTGTTCTACAATAAAAGTGACTGACTTTTAAGCAGCTAAAGTGTAATATTTAGCTGTCTCACAATGTGCACTCAACACATTTATTTAAAAAATATATATAAAATTCACATAAAATTTAATTGACACACAGTAAATAACATAATTTGAGTAAATTATTACTCCATACACACCACACACACACAC